TCAATGTTCTCCTGAAATCATGGAAAATATTCAACAGGACCCGGTGAGCGCCCCCTGCTGGTTCCTTTGTAGTGCTGCTCTCAGACTCCAGTGATCCTGTTGGATGGATTTATGGAGGCTTTAAGGGATTACCTGCAGTCCCACTGTAGTTAGTCCCTCACAGCTACACTTATATATTATGCGTCAAGCTCAGTGTCATCTGTGCAGCAACATTTCTCATATATGAGTTTTCCTCTGCAAAGTGCTGTAAAGTGCTGCTACATGTCCTACACTTGGACATGTAGCAGCACATGGCAGGAAACAGAAGGTGTGATAAGATCCACAACGTTATACGAGATCAGACTGAGCAAGATAGAGATGTAACTGTGCTGAAAAAAATCCACCCACTGTCAAAGAGTGGATGGAGATGGACAGATGACAGGAACACAGTGGTTCCCTCTGTTTAGTCAGCCAGAAACCAACCTATGAAAAAGAAACGAAAGGCGGAGATGCTCAGAAGATGGAAGCATGGTGTTTAATCAGCCAATCACAGCTTTAGAAACAAAGTGTCTGCCAAGGGAGATAACTAAAAAAAAAGCTGATAGAAGCAGGTAGAAGTTAGGGTATGAACATTGTGTAAGCAGTCAGCTTGGTCATGGACATTGTAACAAAAATAAAGCTGCTCTCTGCCATTTCAACAGTCATGTCTGACCTGCTGCTTTGTAGGACTACAGTAATGGAGGGATTCAGTTGCTGAAATCGGGTCTTTGAGACACTTTTTGTAGTGAACCGATGTAAGCTGTGTCTCAGACGGAGTTGATGTTAGTACAATAACATCAGACATGACCTCTGCAGCACCTATTTGATGTGCACATGAATGATTTGTGTTTCCCCTTTAGGTGAAGGTAGAACGTGTGTGTGAGCTGATGTGTATGTGAATTCAGCAGCATGGATCAGTGTGAGGACAGAGAGGAGGGAGTCCCTCCCTCTAAAACCACTCAGAGGTGAGATGACCATCTCTAGCTGTCCATGACTCTTCTCCATGTCACAGCTCAGCACTCACATCACGTCTCCATCATTATTCACAGGGACCGACGTAGACCGGAATTCGGCTATGAGAAGAACCGAGTGAAAGATTTCATTAACACATTTGAACAAAAACAGTCATCTGCGAAAGAGTGAGTTCATGTCAGTAATATCAGTTTATATGTGATGAGGCTATCATTGATGATTTGAACTTTTTCAGGAAACACCAGAGACTCAAACCTGGAACTGAGCCCAGCTGCGTGTCATTAATGAGTGACCGGTCTAAAGATGCAGTCATGGGTTTTAAAAGCCAGCAGGCGTCTGCTACAGAGAGGTGAGCAGTTAGTAACATCAACGTGGGGCTTAGGTTTGTGTCTGATTTCTCAGACTTTTTATCTGATTTAGTTCTCAGCTCAGATAAAATAATTATTGTGGGTGATTTTAACATCTATGTAGATGCTAAAAATGACAGCCTCAACATGGCATTTATTAAAATCTATTGGCTTCTCTCAAACTTTAAAAGAACCCACCCACCACTTGAATCACACTCTAGATCTTGTTTTAACATATGGCATAGAAACTGAACATTTAACAGTGTTTCCTGAAAACCCTCTCCTGTCTGATCATTTCCTGATAACATTTACAGTAATTGATTACACAGCGGTGAGAGTAGACTTTATCACAGTAGATGTCTTTCTGAAAGCACTGTAACTAAGTTTATGAGTATAATCCACCCACTGTTATCATCTCCAATGCCCTGTACCAACACAGAGCAGAGCAGCTACCCTAATGCTACTCCAATCGAGGTTGATTATCTTGTTAATAATTTTACCTCCTCACTATGTACGACTCTGGATACTGTAGCTCCGGTGAAAAATAAGACCTCAAATCAGAAGTACCTGACTCCGTGGTATAATTCTCAAACACACTGCCTAAAGCAAAAAACTCATAAGATGGAGAGGAAATGGCGTGTCACAAATTTAAAAGATGATTATTTAACCTGAAGAAATAGTTTCTTGCTTTATAAGAAAGCCCTCCGCAAAGTTAGAAGATCTTACTAAATAAGAACAACCCCAGGTTTCTCTTCAGCACTGTAGCCAGGCTGACAAAAATTCAGAGCTGTATCGAGCCAACCATCCCTTTAACGTTAACTAGTAATGACTTCATGAACTTCTTCACAAATAAAATTTTAACAGTGAGAGAAAAAATAAATATCTTGTGATCATCTCACATATTTAATAACATGATACAGCTACGATCAGAACCATCAATATTTATACTTAGAGTCTTTTTCACCACTGGAATTTAATTTTATTTATACAAATCACAACAACTGTCGCCTCAACGTTCTTATATTACACAGCAGACCCTACAATAATACATCTAGAGAAAAACCCAACCCCTATGACCCCGTATGAACAAGCACTTTGGTTACAATGGAATGAAAAACTCCCTTTAAACAGGAAGAAACCTCCAGCAGAACCAGGCTCAGGGAGGGGCGGGGCCATCTGCTGCGACCGGTTAAGCTGGGCACACACAGTGCGATTTTTTCAGTCACGTTATCCAGCTTCTGCTCAAACTGTACGATTGACTTGCAGGGGTTAGAAGTTCGTAGGTCACGATGCAGGGTCTCACACTATACGGCCCGATGCTTTGATGCTACCTGAGTGCTCAAACTGGGGCGTTTTGCATTGTTTACAATTTGTACACTTTGTACAATTTGTACATTCCGTGCTTATTGTCCCTAGGGGTTTGCCGTAGTGGCAATGGGGTGAGTATGATTACGGAAGTGGAGGTGTGTCATAGATATACAGAATGAGCAGCAATAAAGAATAATGGTGGCTCATGAAGCAGTTTAAGAAGATGTTCTTTATAATAGTTAAGATTAGAATTACATAGGGGCCACCTGCAGCAACCGGTTGGGGTGAGAGAAGGAAAACAGGATAAAAGACATGCTGCCGAAGAGAGCCAGAGATTGATATCCAGTATGACTGAATGCAGAGGCCTATTAACACATAGTGAGTGAGAAAGGTGACTGAAGAAAAAAAAACCCTCAATGCATCATGGGAATCTCCCAGCAGCCTACAGCTGTTGCAGCATAACTGAGAGAGGATTCAGGATCACCTGATCCAGCCCTAACCTTAAAAGTGAAGATAGTGTGCAAGAAGTGTCTCTCTCCTGAACACACACACACACACACACACACACACACACACACACACACACACACACACACACACACACACACACACACACACTACTTTTAAATACTCTACGAACAACAAGTAACCCTGCAGTGCGAGAGCGAAGTGCTCTAATGGGGTGGTATGGTACTACAAGGTCATTAAGATAAAATGGGGCCTGATTATTATTTTGAATTCAGTTCTGGATCCTAGGTTTGTACGTCTACGTTTGGGCCTCGAAGTTTCCTTCTGCTCATGCTCAGCGTGCACATCTGTTTCTCTTTGAGATCAGGAAGGTATTCTAAGTCTTCATCAGCTTCTGTGGCTGCAAATGAAAAACAGTTTTCTTCTCTAACAGGATCTATGGGAGACCTGCTGAACCTGGACCCAGCTGCATTTCTTTAAAGAGTGACTGGTCTAAAGATGCAGTCACTGGTTTTAAAGGCCAGCAGACATCTGCCGCAAAGAGGTGAGCTGTGAATATCATGAACTCTTTATTAGCAATCGCTTCGGTGTCTGACTTGAATGCTGATTTTTTTTTGTTTTGTTTTTGTTTCATGGATTCTAAAATACAACTCTGTAGGACAGGTGTAGGCAACTGCTGGCCTTGCGGGCTGATGTCCTGCAGGTTTTAGACCACTGTGCCGGAGCTCATAGGTGTGTCGTGAGAAAATGATCAGGTGTCATGGAAAATTATCTGGTTCCAACTGATTAGCACTCTACGCGACAGGTGTGAGTAACGAGCAGAACAATTACATTCTCTTCCATTAGAGGGCAGAACAATTACCCGCTGTAATTAAATGGGTTGCCAACTGCCAATAAAACAGAAGAAGACAGGGAAGAAATTACATAATAGTCATTCTGGAAGTGAGACAAAGCAGCAGGTGAGATGGAGAAAATTCTGACTGAGATCAAGTCATGGGCAGTTGTCCGATAAAAGCAAAAAATGTATAATGGGGACAAAACGAGCCAATTCCTCTATCCCTGGTGCACGGGGAAAAGTTATCAATGTGCTTTTTGTGACATTTTTGTTTGGTGGTGTGCTGTTATTTTTCTAACTTATAGTATGTGCCGTACTTTAAAAATGTTGGGAAACACTGATGTAGAAAGTAGTAAAATAAAGGCAAACCATTAAATACACATGTACACATGCACACTGACTGACACTGAACACCTCCATTGCAATCAAACTAACAGCAAGTTTCCAGAACTGCTGGCACTTCAACACAGAACACAGTAACTGTGGAGACTCTCACAGAGGTGATCTATTCAATGAAGTTCTCTTCCTGATCCCTAGAGATTCCTACAGGAAGTTTATGAATCCCTACATTTTGTCTGTCATTAATTCTCCACTTCTGATTGGTTATGCCCTTGGTTAGTTAGAAAATCAATCAATAATATTAATAATAATATTCAGTAATTAACTGGATGAATTTGTATCCATTCAAATTACATTAAGATATTATAGCTTAGTGGACTCGTAGTAATCAGAGTTTGAAATGCAGCTGAAGATATCTAGGTGAACCCTAAAGGTACCAATGCAGACTAACTTGCAGTTGACACAGATCTGGATTAAACCTAAACCTTATTATTATTATTTTTTTTTTTGGCGGGTGTTTGTAGTTCAAACTGTCTGTTTTTTAGGGCATCCAGTTAGAAAATGCCTGTCTAGGTTTAGTTTTTGAAGTTTCCTTCTGCTTATGCTCAGCCTGCAATCCAGGTTCTCTTTGGGATGATGAAGGCATTCTAAGTCTTCCTCAGCTTCTGTGGCAGCAAATGGAAAGCACATTTTCTTCTCTAACAGGATCTATGGGAGAGCTGCTGGACCTGAACCTGAAAGTAGACCAGAACCTGGACCCAGCTGTGTGTCATTAAAGAGTGACCGGTCGAAAGATGCAGTCACAGGTTTTAAAGTGCAGCCGGTGTCTGCTGTAGAGAGGTGAGCTGTTAATAACATGAATTCTTTGAGAGCTTATTTAATTGCTTGATGTTATTGGATAAAAACTGCAGTGCAAACACGTCATTCCCAATTAAACTGTCTCTTACTGTCCTGTAATAGATCATGTTAGAATAGAAACAAATCTCTGCTTTGTAAACACCAAATAAAGTCATTAATGACTTTAAATCAGTCCTCTATTCTCCTGATGTGTGTTTAAACATTGTTGTGACTCAGTGTTTGTAAATAAATCCTCCATCATGTTTAACGTCAGCTCACCTCTTTTTCACACAAATATCTATTTTCATATGTGAAGCGGTGTGTGTGTTTCCACAAACACAGCAGTGAGAGTGTAAAGAATGGATGTTTTAGGTGTTAGGCTGAGTGTCTGTAGGACTCCAGCTGCTCCAGCAGGTGTCTTCTTTGTACTTTGCTTCAAACACAGTGTAGGGAGGAACTTCCACTCAGGTGTTTTTCCAGAATAAACTGAAAAAAAAATCTAAATTATAAAAATACAATGGTGGTAATTATCAATTAACAGTGGCAGGATACCTGAGTATAATTTGAATGATTGATAATTTTTGCTCTCTAGAGGGAAAACCTCTAAAAATACAATACAATAAGATACGCATAAAAAACCTTTTAGTAAATTTAAACAACCAAACTGGCCACATTTATTGCAAATGTGCTTTTTCCATTTTTGAGCAGATTGTAAGTCTGGTACAGTGACAACCAATTCTTCATAATTCCTCTACAGTGTTGACCAGGAGAGCTCAGAGGTTCCCAGTAGTGATGCTGCTGGGCAGACAGAAACACACCTGGACTCCATATTTATGGTTTGTACATAAACAACAACTGCTTTTAATAATAATACATTTTATTGATAGTAACCTTTCAAAATACCGAAGAATATTGTACACTAGATGAACAAAAAAAGTGAAAATAGAAATATAAAAAAGGTTAAAATTTGGTTTGAGGTAATTTAAGTGTAAACTAATGTCCAGAAAAGGAAACATCTGTTTTTAAAGGGAGTTAAAATACCATGTAGAAACCAGCTCTTCAAAGGTGGAGAACTCGTGAATGTCCATGAGGTGGTCGATGCTAGAGGACAGATAATTAAGATCGATGTCCTTATTTTTGCAGAATGAAAGATGATGGAGTTTGGTAATAAAGAATGAGTTTAACATTTAAGAAAAAGAAAGTGACTAGTTGTATGCAGTTCGTGTGCTGTATAATCAACAGGTGTTGGTTTTACATAAGTGATGGCAGATCACTCAGACAGACACTGTTGCAGTGAAGAGGGGTTTATTTACAGTGAGGACAAATATCCAGCATAGCACTGAGATGAGAAAGCACAATGAATAGGAAACTTGAAATATATAGAGGGAGAAGAGGAGAGAATGAAGTTAACGACTGATAGAAGCATAGTTCAGGAGATACAAAAATGTTCACAAGGAATTCGTTAGAGAGTTTGCTTGCTTTGATAACTCCAGACTGAGGGCGGCTGGTCAGAGAGCGTCATGAACTTGCAGGAAGCAGAGGAGGAGGAAGTCCTTGATTATCAAATTGGTACATAAAAGATGGTTGATTAATTCCAACTTGAGGCTGAGACAGCAATCCAACACCCAAGAGCTGCCACGCTGCTCCTTAAGTACTCCAACTAATGAGGTTGGAGTACAGATGCGTTGGAGAAACCCTGATGAACACAGCTACTCCTGCCACATTTAGTCTGGCTTTATGGGAGAACTACGAATGGCTTTTCTATAATCACAAGCAACTTTGTTTTGTCTTCAGTTAAACCAGAGCTGAGAAGTCACACTCACAGAGGTAGGTAGTGCTGAATGGTAGGAGGGCTTTTCCTGCTCGAGTGGAAAGGGAAGAAAACTTGCTCATCACAGAACTGAGAGATGCTTACCTCTTTGAATTACTTTTTTAGTGTGGGGTCAGCTTCATAAAAAGTCAAAAAGGTCCCCTACCCGTTCATTATATGTCCTATTCTCGGGAAAATCATCTTTAATGGTAAATGGCCTGTATTTGTATAGCGCTTTATTAGTCCCTAAGGATGCCAAAGCGCTTTATACATTCAGTCATTCACCCATTCACACACTGGTGATGGCAGCTACATTGTAGCCACAGCCGCCTTGCGGCGCACTGACAGAGGCGAGGCTGCCGGACACTGGCACCACTGGGCCCTCTGACCACCACCAGTAGGCAACGGGTGAAGTGTCTTGCCCAAGCACACAATGACCGAGACTATCAGAGCCGGGGCTTGAACCGGCAACCTTCCGATTACGAGATGAACTGCCAGCTCTTGAGCCACGATCGCCCCACTTGAAATTGATTCAGAAGTGTCATGGTTCTTTTTTCAGCACATTTTATACAGCTCGCTTGGCCCTGTAATGCACGTTGACAGCTGCCACTTACTGTAAGGGGTGTGAATAGGTGACTCTCTATTGAGGCACCTCTTGTGTAGAGTCAGCTCTCAGTTTCGGTTCATGAGACAGACACTATCTCTACTTTTAAGATTAGACTTCAAACTTCAAATATAGTTAGGGCTGGATCGGCTGACCCTCAATCCTACCATAGGTCTAGGCTGCTGGGGTATTCCCATGAGGAATTGAGTGTTTCTTCTTCATTCCCTATGTGTTTATACACCTCTCTCCATTTAATCATTAGTTACTATTAATCTCTGGCTCTCTTCCACAGCATTTGTCCTGTCTTTCTGTTAAAAGGGAGTTTGTCCCACTGTCGCCAAAGAGCTTGCTCATAGGGGTTAATATGATTGTTGGGGTTTTCTCTGTTTGCTTTTTATTATTGCAGGGTGTTTACCTTACAATATAAAGCGCCATGAGACAACTGTTGCTGTGATTTGGTGCTGTATTAAAACAATTTATTTAATTGATTTTTTTTTGTTTGGGAAAGCCCCACAGCCCATCTGTTATGATTTAATGTCTTAATGAATCCCCCAGTCGCATTGTGTTTAGTAAGAGAGTGGATTGCAAAGTCAATTAATAAGTGTTGAGTTTAGATGGCAGAATAGTTGTAGGATTGGGATCAGGCAGATTACACACTATAGTTGCAAAAGAACTAAAGACAGGAGCAGTTACCAATAGTTATGGGGGCCACGTCTAAGATAGACACAGTCAAACAGTGATCAAGTTTCACACTCTTTTATTTAGGCAGAATCAGATAAATACACATTGCTGCACAAAGTTACACTGCGGACACTGGAGTAACATTTTCTCTGGAGGGGCTTGGGCAGGCACACATATAGGTGAGGCTCTGCAACATGAGAGAGGAGAAAGTGACTGGAGGTAAAGGAGCAGTGTCACGGAAAGGTGAAGACAGTGAGTGAAGAGAGGTCACTTGCAGGAGGAGTGGAGTCAGGCTTCAGGATGCGAGTTTTGGCAGAGTGAGCAGCAGGCAGATCAATGATAAAGATTCCTGACCTGAGGAGGTGGTGAGTCCGAAGCGAGAAGGAGGCCAGGCAGGATATCTGTGGGTAATCCGTCCAAAGGAAATGAATGAGAGGCTGGCACAAGGGTGTCAGTGGGAGGAATGCAATCTGCAGGTGGTAAGTACACAATCAAAAAACACGTTAATCACAAAATCTGAGGTGTGTTGTCACCGTGGGTAGCTGAAAGAGTGGCAAAGAAGAGATGACCACTTTGGGATTAAATGCAGCCACTTTCATAACAGCTGATAAGTGGCAGGTGGGTGCGAGGGGACTGCGCTCCACCCCAGAACAGATCTGGAAAAACAGGCAGGATGGAAAAACATATGCTGCCCCTCCCAGTTGACCAAACACTGGTGGCCACAGCTACAGCGACGCACATCTGTGATCCATTGGACTATGCCGGCCGGATGATAATCAATGAGCCAGGCAGGTGGCGAGGGGTTGGACAAAGGGCAAAGAGGACTGGAGTGCTCAGGTTTAATTTGGGACACATGGAAAGTCTGTGGCTGTGGGTGATGGGCTCCGCCAGGGCTGCCCTCTGTCACCGATTCTGTTCATCATTTTTATGGACAGGATTTCTAGGCGTGGCCTCAGAATCTCATCTCTGCTTTTCGCAGATGATGTGGTTCTGTTGGCTTCATCAGGTGAGGGCCTCCAGCTCGCACTGGAATGGTTCGCAGCCGAGTGTGAAGCAGCGGGAATGAGGATCAGCACCTGCAAATCTGAGGCCATGGTTCTCAGCCGGAAAAGGGTGGAGTGCCCACTCCGGGTCGGGGATGAGTTCCTGCCCCAAGTGGAGGAGTTCAAGTATGTCGGGGTCTTGTTCGCGAGTGATGGGAGAAGGGAGCCGGAGATCGACAGACGGATTGGGGCTGCAGCTGCAGTAATGCGGACGCTGCACCGGTCCGTCGTGGTGAAGAGGGAGCTGAGTGTAAAAGCGAAGCTCTTAATTTACCGGTCGATCTACGTCCCTACCCTCACCTATGGTCACGAGCTGTGGGTAGTGACCGAAAAAACGAGATCGCGGATACAAGCGGCAGAAATGAGCTTCCTCCGAAGGGTGGCTGGCCTCTCCCTTAGAGATAGGGTGAGAAGTTCGGCCATCCGGGAGGGGCTCAGAGTAGAGCAGCTGCTGCTCCACATCGAAAGGAGCCAGCTGAGGTGGTTCGGGCATCTGACAAGGATGCCTCCTAGGCACCTTCTGGGGTTGGTGTTCCGGGCATGTCCCACCGGGCAAGGCCCCGGGGCAGACCCAGGACACGCTGGAGAGATTACATCTCTTGGCTAGCCTGCGAACGCCTTGGTGTTCCCCCGGATAAGCTGGAGGAGGTGGCTGGGGAGAGGGAGGTCTGGGCCTCTTTGCTTAGGCTGCTGCCCCCGCGACCCGGCCTCGGATAAAGCGGATGAAGATGGATGGATGGATGGAAAGTAGGATGAATAAAAAGAGAGGATGAAAGCTTTAGCTTGACTGCTGAGTGATTAATGATGGTGTCAAATTCAGGCCCAATGAGAAAGAGAGGGCATTTATTCCTCACGGGGAATCTCATTCAATTCCCTGTAATAAATGCATGGACAGAGGTATCTGGCTTTTATAGCCACAAATAAAAAACAAACAGCACGTAACAGGGATGAAAACTGACAGATGTTACCAGCTGCCAGGGACTCCTGGATGTACTTCTCCATGGTGTCTCTCCATGGCTGGTGTAACATGGGTTGTATTCAGAGGTTGAGAAGAGGCTGCAGAAACTCTCAGTTCAATTCAATTCAAATTCAATTCAATTTTATTTATATAGCGCCAAATCACAACAACATTCACCTCAAGGCAGGACAGTTAAAAACTCATGATCACATTGGCACTGGGAATTCTACAATGCTTGTCCTTTAATAATTACACTTTTCACCAACCTTACAAGGCTCAGTTGAACGACTGCTGTCTTGTCATACATGAAGCAAGCAGTGTTCAAACAACACGTAATGTTACTTTGAGTTAGGGAGGTAAAAATGTGAGGTCCATCTCAGTGCACCCAACCATCTGCAAGCATGTTTCTCCCACATTCTACAGTCGTGGCCAAAGGTTTTGAGAATGACACAAATATTAGTTTTCACAAAGTTTGCTGCTAAACTGCTTTTAGATCTTTGTTGCATTTGTTTCTGTGATGTACTGAAATATAATTACAAACACTTCATACGTTTCAAAGGCTTTTATTGACAATTACATGACATTTATGCAAAGAGCCGTTGACCCTTCTTTTTCAGGACCTCTGCAATTTGACTGGGCATGCTCTCAATCAACTTCTGGGCCAAATCCTGACTGATAGCAACCCATTCTGTCATAATGTCTTCTTGGAGTTTGTCAGAATTAGTGGGTTTTTGTTTGTTCACCCGCCTCTTGAGAATTGACCACAAGTTCTCAATGGGATTAAGATCTGGGGAGTTTCCAGGCCATGTACCCAAAATTTCAGCGTTTTTTTTCCTCGAGCCACTTATTTATCACTTTTGCCTTATGGCACAGTGCTCCATCGTGCTGGAAAATGCATTGTTCTTCACCAAACTGTTGTTTGGTGAAGAACAATAGCGGCAGAGGTAAAATATGCCTCAGCCAATGCAAGCACCTTTCCCATCAGCATGCCCACAAGATATGATGTTTTGACACCGTCATCTGGAAAAGAGCGGAGAGAACGGTCAGACACTAGGTAGCATTGGAAAAGGAATCCCCAACTTACTGTAGAAGGGCTCAGGTGCCAGGGAGATCACATTTCTTAAAAAAGGCAAAAGAAGAAGCAATGCGGTGGAGCTTCTTTGACAGCCGATGGGGCAGCTGGCATCAGCATGTGTTATGGAAACCATAACACATGCTGCATCGGCTTTGGGCTCACAAGAGATGGACCCAAAAGCAGACAATAGCCAGACAGAAATCAATTCTCACAGTTTTTATTTAGAGCACAGATAACAACACGTAGCTGACATGAACTCATACTGGGCACACTGGAGTGTCTCTACACAGGCTCAGGCAGGGATGCACAGGGGTGAGCTACGGTGGTCCGGCAGAGTGAGCGGCAGGCAGATAAACAATGAAGTTCCCTGACCTGAGGAGGTGGTGAACTGAAGGAAGCAGAAGGGCAGGCAAGTAAAGTGTGGGTAATCCATATTTTCCAGAGGAGGTGAGTGATAGGCTGGCACGAGGCTTCAAAAAGTCACGAGGGTTTGAGTTAGAGCAGCGCAAGCTGCGACCATAAGGAGACGAGGTAAGTACCCAATCGAGAAAGTGTTAATCACAAAAACTGAGGCCATATTGTACTGTACATAGCTGATGGACTGGCGAAGAAGAGATGGTCACGGTGGACTTAAATGCATCTGCACTTATTACAGCTGATTAGCAGCAGGTGGGTATGAGTGGACCTGGCTCTGCTCGGTAAGGGATCCACACACACCAGCTGCTCACTTGAACCATTACACCAGTATGTCTTTCCACCTGTTGTGATAGATTATTGCAAGGTCCCCGGCCAGTTCCAAAGGGCTGATAGATGGAAAAAAAACAGGAGGAGTGAATTAATTTAATTGAGATAAGTAATGGGGTTGTTACCATTTCTCAGTTACGCAGAGAAAGTCAAACTTGCAGTCAGTGAAGAGATGCTGGAAGAGATGCCCCTCACTTGTAAAAGAGATTATATCTAGGAGATTGAAGTTGACAGTGGTGGTACCACAATTGGCAGGATGGTCAAGAACCGCACCACTACTGAGTGCTGAGCATTGAGCGTGGAGCCAGCTATATCTGACTATATAATCTTTTATATCCATTCTGTTCACAGTCATCTCTATCCTGCACTTTGTAGACCAATGGATTGTCAGTGTATCCAACATGGATCTGATGTTTGGCTCCATGACTTCAGTCTGATTGGGTCATTCATAAGCTATTCTGTTGCAGCTGCTGGAGAACAACATCATCACTTTTGTGAAGAATGAACTGAAGAAGATCCAGAAGGTTCTTAGTTCAGACTACCCAGAATGCTTAAAGAATCAGAGGGAGGATGATGAGAAGACGAGGAGCAGCAGAGAGGCATTTCTAAAGATAACACTAAACTTCCTGAGGAGAATGAAGCAGGAAAAGCTTGCTGACCGACTGAAGAGCAGTAAGGGGGTTTCTCTAAAGATTCAAGCTACTTGATAAATGAAACGTTTACTAATGAAGATGAAAAAACTTATATACAGTCATTACTATGTGGGATGGAAATTTTTATGCCCACTTTTAAAAACATTACTTAATTGTTGATGTGTTTTTAATGTTTACTATTCAGGAATTCCTGCTTCAGTTTGTCAGCGTGAACTTAAATCTAAGATAAAGAAAAAGTTCCAGTGTGTGTTTGAGGGGATCGCTAAAGCAGGAAACCCAACCCTTCTGAATCAGATCTACACAGAGCTCTACATCACAGAGGGAGGGACTGCAGAGGTCATTGATGAACATGAGGTCAGACAGATTGAAACAGCATCCATGAAACCAGACAGACCAGAAACAACAATCAGACAAGAAGACATCTTTAAAGCCTCACCTGGAAGAGATGAACCAATCAGAACAGTGCTGACAAAAGGATGGGCTGGCATCGGGAAAACAGTCTTAACACAGAAATACAGCCTGGACTGGGCTGAAGACAAAGCCAACCAGGACATCCAGTTCATATTTCCATTCACTTTCAGAGAGCTGAATGTGCTGAAAGAGGAAAAGTTCAGCTTGGTGGGACTTGTTCATCACTTCTTTACTGAAACCAAAGAAGCAGGAATCTGCAGCTTTGAAGACTTCCAGGTTGTGTTCATCTTTGATGGTCTGGATGAGTGTCGACTTCCTCTGGACTTCCACAAAACTACAATCCTAACTGACCCTAGAAAGTCCACCTCAGTGGATGAGCTGCTGATAAATCTCATTATGGGGAACCTGCTTCCCTCTGCTCGCCTCTGGATAACCACACGACCTGCAGCAGCCAATCAGATCCCTCCTGGCTGTGTTGGCTACGTGACAGAGGTCAGAGGGTTCACTGACCCACAGAAAGTGGAGTATTTCAGGAAGAAATTCAGAGATAAGGAGCAAGCCAACAGGATCATCTCCCACATCAAGACATCACGAAACCTTCACATCATGTGCCACATCCCAGTCTTCTGCTGGATCACTGCTACAGTTCTGGAGGATGTGCTGGAAACCAGAGAGGGAGGACAGCTGCCCAAGACCCTGACTGAGATGTACATCCACTTCCTGGTGGTTCAGGCCAAAGTGAAGAAGGTCAAGTATGATGGAGGAGCTGAGACAGATCCACACTGGAGTCCGGAGAGCAGAAAGATGATTGAGTCTCTGGGAAAACTGGCCTTTGATCAGCTGCAGAAAGGAAACCTGATCTTCTATGAATCAGACCTGACAGAGTGTGGCATCGATATCAGAGCAGCCTCAGTGTACTCAGGAGTGTTCACACAGATCTTTAAAGAGGAGAGAGGACTGTACCAGGACAAGGTGTTCTGCTTCATCCACCTGAGTGTTCAGGAGTTTCTGGCTGCTCTTCATGTCCATTTGACTTTCATCAATTCTGGAGTCAATCTAATGAAAAACCAAACAACCTCCCAGAAGTCTGAAACAAAAGAATCTGCAGAGAAACATTTCTACCAGACTGCTGTGGATAAGACCTTACAGAGTTCAAATGGACACCTGGACTTGTTCCTCCGCTTTCTTCTGGGTCTTTCGTTGGAGACCAATCAGATTCTGCTACGAGGTCTTCTGACACAGAGAGGAAGTAGCTCACAGACCAAGCAGGAAACTGTCCAGTACATCAAGAAGAAACTTAATGAGAATCTGTCTGCAGAGAAAAGCATCAATCTGTTCCACTGTCTGAATGAACTGAGTGATCGTTCTCTAGTGGATCAAATCCAACAGCATATGACATTAGGACTTCTCTCTTCACTGTCTCCTGCTCAGTGGTCAGCTCTGGTCTTCATCTTACTGTCATCAGAAAAAGATCTGGATGTGTTTGACCTGAAGAAATACTCTGCTTCAGAGGAGGCTCTTCTGAGACTGCTGCCAGTAGTCAAAGCCTCAAACAAAGCTCTGTAAGTAAATATGTGTTCAGGCTTTTATTTATAACATAAACAGTGTAACCTGTGATGGCTTAAAAACTTAAATATATTTTATTAAATGATCATCAGCACTATGTGAAGTATATTATACTTGACGTTTTATAATCAACCCCTCAAAACCAAATACAAACACAATGAAAAAAAAACTGTGACATTTTTTATTCATACCAAAATCACATGAGATGATCCAGTGTTCTCTCTTTAGTTCCTCCTCATTTCTCCTCTGATCTTATTGCTCTGCATCAGTGCACTGCTCAGTTGAACATGAATTCACTTCTATATGTTACAGTCAGCCTCGCTAGGATGTTCCCCATTGTCTGCAGCTGCTGGCAGATTCAACCATATTCCTCATGTTTCTTGTGGTTTGCTTGTGGTTTTTCTCTCAGTCTCTCCTATGTCATGCACTTTGTGTTTGACTCTGCACAGTCTATGAACCTTGAGAAATTGTTTCAGAATTGTATCACCTGACAACAGACTGAGGACTCGTCATCACCTAAACTTCCGCTATCCACGTTTAAAAGGAGGGATATCTATCACCTTACTTCCGTGTTACCTCCGCAATGCAGTCAGTCAGGTATGGGATCAGAACGATGCCACCTTGAAATGAAACTGAAAAAATATTGAAATAAAAAAAAAAAAGTAACTCAAATAAATGCACTGAAAATCAGTGCCAGCAGATTGAAACTGAAAAATGGACTGAAACTGAAACAATTTTTTTAAGCGAAAACAAAAAATTACTGTTGCAATCAATCTTTTTCACTATCAATTCTTTTCACTTTCAATACAAGATTTTTCAGTACGTTTATTTCAGTTACATTTTTTTTCTGTTTCATTTTAAGGTGGCATCTTTCTAATCCTATAGTCAGCCCCCTCACTCATCACTAGGGATGGGTACCGGTGTCCGGTGCCATGATGGCAC